TAGCGCAGATAGCCCTCGTGTAGCTGTGCACAAAATTAAAAACAAACAAACAATTATTTCATATTTTCTCTTAATATATTATTTTTCTGCAGTTTTAACTAAGAAGGACTTTCGGAAGATATACTAAATATTGTATTTGTCTACATAGTTGTGGGTTAAATACAAATACAAGTAACAAATTTAATTCCATAGTGTTCAGTAATCCAGAATAAATTTAAAAAAATAAAAATTACCCAAAATAATAGTTGTTTTTTCATAATAACTGATATTTTTGTCACAGCTCATCCAGAACCATCATGTCTGTAAAGAAATTCTTCAAAGCATTGATTCGACGTAAACAACTGGACTTCGGGGCTTTGACAGACACTAATCTAAATCGTTGCCTGTCTACTTTAGATTTAACAGCCTTAGGTAAAATGTACTTATTATTAAATTTATTATTATTATTAAACTTAATTATCAATACCTTCTGATCAAAACAAGCCACCTCGTTGTTATCGATATATTCAGCCGTACTTTCAAGTTTAATATCTTACACCTAAACTCTATAATAGGCATAATAAACTTGTAATACCAAGTAAAAAATATATTTGAACTATATTGAAAGTCTGATACAGAAAAATTAACTGCAAGTTTTCACTAACAGACCCAGAAAATGATTAAGAATGTAGAGGTAATTGTTAATTTTTGGATAGAAGCACAAAAACTGGCTCATTTGTAGTGCTTGACCTTCTGACCATTTCTGAATGTGGAACTAACTGGAAAAATCTAAGATGGCCACCCAGTCTTATGTATATGGAGAATAGAAATGTTAAACGTGTTATAAAACAGGATTTTTACATAATGTTCATCTTTATTTCTTACAATAATGTTAGCTACATAAATAAGAAAACTTATTTTATATATATATTTACTTTTTCAGCAGTGTTTAAGTAATTTGTACTCTTAATGTATTGCAAATACGTCGCACGCATTTCAACGGATGTAATCAAAAGACGGATGTAAATACGCTTTAGTAGACATTTTGTACAACAACATATTAAAGTTTATCAAAGGCTTTAAACAAGGCTAACGTTAGATAGTAGAATAACATTATACGTTTATTTATTGGTTTTCGAATGAAACCTAAAACATCTTCCAGAACTATATAGATGAATATGGAACAGTTAGGAGAGGGATATGGCTCTGTCACCAATAATGTCTAGCTTGGAAAACAGCTCTCTTGGTGCGTTCTAAGAGAACTGTAGATGTCAGTGAGATGTTGTTGATCGATCTCCAACTTTGTGTAAGAAGTCCTCTCCAGGCATCATTTATATTGGCAGAAGAGCGGGATCGATCATACATTAACACTACAAAATGTTCTACACTGTCATCAAATTTGCTTCACTTTTCTCCGATGGAGCTTGAGTCAGGTCTTTGAAGATTGCTGGAATCTCTTCGAGTTCTTTCTAGGAATCCTGGACGGTCCTCTTACCTTTCCATTGAAAAATATTCCAGTCACATCCAGAGGAGATTCAAACTTACTTGGACAAAACCACGTACAACTATGTGCCGGAAAGTCGTCCCTGTTCCAAACTTTATCTACAGCTGATTGAGACTTACCTTGGAGTACATTACAATGAACAGTATAGTGATGTCATTGTTAAAAGTTCTAATAATCATTGTTTGACTCTTTCCTTGTCATAATCCGACATATAAAGTAAGAACATTATATCTGCTTTTTCATGTTTACATGAGGACATTTAATTAGTGTATCCAAGTGCATTACCTAATACTTATTTTCTGTGAATAGATACTAACTCCTTCCCTTCAATTTGAATAGTAGTATCTCTTTAATAAGGTGACTATAAAGCTCAATTTTTTCTCATCCACAGTCTTACTGTTTTAATATTATTCTGAGAGGTTTTTTATTTGATTTTGAAAAATTCATAATAAAAGCGCCATCTTTAAACTTTACAGGTATTGGAAGCACTCTTGGTTTGGGAATATATGTACTGGCTGGACAGGTAGCCAGCACCAAGGCTGGTCCGGCTGTAACTCTATCATTTTTTATTGCCGCTGTGGCGTCAGTTTTTGCAGGTTAATATATAATTTTTTTGTGTATTGGAGTTTGTTATATTGATAAAAAAAGTATTAAAGAGAATATTAGATATTTAAACTATAACAAATAACCAATGGTAAATATCTCAGACTATGATTTACCTAAATAGTAAGACAAAAATATATTGTAGCTGTTATATGGTGTAGTACATTAACTCGTTGAGAAATAAGCAGACATGGATTTTGTGGCGTCTTTTATATAAGTTTAATTGATATACCAGACCATTCATTTTTAATAAAATATCTCTCGGCTATCTCATGTATTGGTCAACTTTAAGATGTTGAATTAATTGTAATTTTGAAACTAAAATATGAACATTTTTGTTGTTTTATAAATGCTTTGATATTTCGCGTCGTTTAAGTAGGTCATTTTTTAGTGTCAATAAAATATAAGTTTGAACGTTTATATTGTTTCTGGTAATTTAGTCAGTCATCTGGTTTGTCATGAATTAATATCTGTAACAATTTTTAAAACATTGAAAAATATTATATATATATATAAGGTAAATCTTAAATATTACTTTCAATAAACAACTGTTAAAGTAATTCTGATGATAACTTGAAAATGTAAATGTGTCAACCTATTCCCCAGGATTGTCCTATGCTGAGTTTGGAGCCAGAGTTCCTAAGACTGGTTCAGCATACGTATACAGCTATGTCACAGTGGGAGAATTTATGGCATTCGTGATTGGTTGGAACTTAATTCTAGAGTATGTAATAGGTACGGTACACTTGCTCTTTTGTTGGTAAAATCTATAAAAAAAAATTCGAGTTGACCTAACGTATATTAGGCAGGGTTGCCAGATACCGCTCCCCCTACTTCTGAAAAAGAAAAATAGAAAATCCGCCATCTGCAACAGATTCGTCCATAAGTTTGCTCATGAAATGAATCCATAAGGACATAAATAAATGTTTATTTTACTGTCCCTTGCAGTGATATACAACTTATATATATATATATATAATGATTTACTAGGTCAATGCAGGTAGAATAAATGTGCAGTTCTTACCTACTACAAGTTGCAAGAAAGATCCTACAGCACATCTAATATATATATATATATATATACGTTTTTCACAGTACGATGATGATAAAAGGAGAAAGATGGGAACTACGTGAGGTGAAGTATAATTGGTAGTAGCATCTACCAATCACTGTCCTTGAGAAGGAATGGTGGGTTAATTGTAGTGTTTCTAAACAGAATAATATTACAGAGGCAGAATTTGGAAAGTCATTATGAGAAGTTATTTAGACTGAGAGAAAAAATACCCCGTATGTATTACTACTTTCCCACCACTTAATATTTCTCCACAGATAGGAGATTTCCTCCATAATCTGGCAACCATGATATTAGGTGTAGTTAACTTACATGTTTATCGTGTTATGATATTGAGGTTTGTTGCATTATGTCTATTTTTAAAGTGAAATTTTAAAAAAATCTGAGATTTTAAAATATATGATAAAAACCATTCTGTCAAAAAGAAAGACAAAAGTTAACAAGACTAAACTTGTTTCGTATACTTAACAGAATAATGAGAAGAAGAAAAGTAAATATGTTGATAAATGTAAAACTAATTGCTTCTACGTGTGCTCCTTAATTATCATTATAAATTACAATATTTTAATCACAGGCACAGCATCAGTGGCTCGTGGTTACAGTGGTTACATCGATTCTTTAACCAACGGAACCATCGAACGAACACTAATAGAGCTGCTCCCTATAAACAATACAGGAATCTCTGCTTATCCAGATTTTCTAGCTCTAGGAATTACACTGTTGTTAACAGGTAGGAATCAACTAGGAATTACACTGTTGTTAACAGGTAGGAATCAACTAGGAATTACACTGTTGTTAACAGGTAGGAATCAGCGTTTCCACTCTTTTGTCACTTTTCCATTGGCAAAGGAATGTCGGAGTCAATTTCTATCGAGGAGTTTTCTGACTCATGCAAGTTATCAATAACAATTATCTACGTTAGTCAGGTCTGAAGAGAGAGAGAAAATGACGGCAATGCGTTTATTACTGAAAATGTCTCAGATATTTTTAGGTCACGAAACATCGGGGTTGATTGAACTGTTGCAAAATCTTTACACCTCATTTCTTGCTTGATGATAAGTGACATGCTATAAACATAACTTTTATCGGTTTTTTTTTATGAAGATGGGAGGTTTCTTGTTTTTATTTTTATTGCAACCTGCCTGTTATTAAGTGAACCTTCTTAACATAGACAGTTAGAGAAGATAATGATTTTACTTGGTAACTTAATTTATTGCAAAACTAAAAGAAAATACACTTTATGCACTTTCTTGCCCAAGTAAAGTTGACCAAAAAAAAAGGGAAGAAAATCAGGGATAAACGTTTCGACCGCATGGCAGGTCATAATACATGAATACTAACTTCTAATCATAGGAAGCTATTTGCTTAGAGCGAAACTAAATATCAACCTGGTACTAAGTATAGCTAATTAAAAATACTTGTCTTATATTCTGATTTATAAATATTAGAATGCATTAGATGCCCTCGCTGTATATATCTCGAACAGGGAGGTTTACAAAGGAATGTTTACTTTTCCTATTATCAGATTTGAGTTTTCCTGGTATTTCAGTTTAAAATTAGAAAATATATTCCACAATTTTCCGTTATAAACTACCATTGGAATCAAATGTGATCCCATTATAATTATGTTTTATACAAACTCTTTGACGTTATTTTGTTTTATATATATATATATATATCACATGATACGATTATACAAAAAAAAGAGAAAGGTAATATACCAGATCTAAAACTAAATAAAATCATCAAAAGGACAATGTAAATGAAAGTACAGGTAACATAAGTAAATTTATATTGTATTTAATTGTAATAATATAAAAGAAGACGTAGTAGTTAGAAGGACGAAATGAAATTATATTTTCAGTTAAATGAAAAACCAGTTGATGACCTGTTGTTGTGTTTAGTAATATTTTGGATGTTATTGCTCTAAATTGTTTGTCATGTGGATGCAAAAAAAACTGTCCAATGACATTTTCAGAAGCAAAAAAGTTGCTGTTTTTACTATAATTGGGCCCACCTACGTTATACCGAACTTCCAGAGAACAGGTTTTGACCAATAAACACTGTTCTAGCATATAAGGAACGTTCTGAATCTATAACATCTGTAATGATTGCAGATGAAGACAATTATACTTTTTGCTTAAAATAACATAATACATTTCATATTGATTGAATATGTTTTCAAATTTTTCATCCAGTGTATGCAATAAATCAAAATTTTAATATAATCTTCGTTTCTTTTTCTTTATTTTTTGTCCTAAATAAACATTTACTTTTATAGTGATTGAATAATTTTTCTAATTAACCACAAATATATGTAATATTTGCAACTAACATCACTGAACAGTTATTTAGTGTCATTTTTTAATCTTATTTGTTTGTTTGTGTTTTAATTTTGTGTTAAGCTACACGAGGGATATCTCCGCTAGCCGTCCCTAATTTAGCAGTGTAAGACTAGAGGGAAGGC